CAATCGCACAAGCAAAATATACCTCTCCCAGACATGTGAGACTTTAACGAGAAAAAGTTTGTGAATCACAGAAAATCCTTTTCAATACTAATCACTTCCATAGAACTTCTAGTGCTATTCTTCCTGCTCGGACGCATTGAGCGGCGTCAGAAAGTTGAAAGGCTTACTATTGTGTACCCTACCACCCTAATACATGGTTCACCCCTCCCACCTCTAAGCCCACTCCTGGAGAAGCATTAAATTGTATATATAGATAATCAATTGTGTGCTAAGTGGTCGTGTGGCTCATCATGTCTGTATACTAAATTAAGTTATGCTGCCATACCCCAAACTTCAGCTTTTAGCCAATATCCTTCTAAGATAAGGTGCTTCAAGTATACATTGAAATCTTTTAAATATGCTTCCTGTCTTTGATTAATCCATGCCTTTTAAAAGAATGATTATAACTGCTCCACAGAATCTTTTCCAATTGTTTGCTCCAGGTTAGGCTGACCAGCTTCAGTATTAGTCCATAGTATTCAGAGATGTATATATTAGGTGGGTTATAGGGGAATGGGTCTGGGTGGGATGCTTTGAGGGTCGGTGTGGACTTGTTGGGCTAAAGGGCCTGTTTCCACACTGTAGGGATTCTATGATTTTATGGAATACATTTCCTGGAAGCAAGATGAAGTCAAGTTCAATTGAGACATTCAAGAGGATATTGGATGATGATTTGAATAGAAATAATGTGCAAGGGTATTGGCAAAAAGCAGGAGATTGACTCTAGACAATGACACTCATTTACGAGCAGGCACAATAGATTGTGTGGCCTCCTTCTGTGCCATAACATTTCTGTGATTTTTGGCTGCTTTCCTCCTGGAATGAAAAAGACAGATATTACGGGAGATAAAAGTGGGTGGCACAGCTGTTACTTTTGGTGCAGGTGAGAGATGTCCTGTGAGTGAGCAGCACAGAGTCCAGGCAGAGTTACTAGTATTAGGGGTGAGGTGAGTGATAGTCAGTGAGCGAAACATGTTCCAGGCAACAGAGAGAATAGTAAAGCATGAGCCTTGGTCAGAGGTGGGTATGGAAGCACAAATAGAGCGAGAATGAGATAATGGAGAGAAGATGGTGGCATTGACACTGGCAGAGGGCAGAAAGACATTGACCAACTTCCTACTGTGCTTGGCATTCCACAAGATGCCTGGAACTGCTCTAACCAGGGTAACAAACTCGGGCCAGGCTGGCTCGGTCTGGTGTCCCAACCCCACAGCTGACCCTTGAGAAGAGGACATCTCAGTTTGCATTACCCACTACAACAGAACGTCCAGCTTCCTGCCCTCAAAGTGGGGCATCAATTTCCCCACGTCTGCCAGGACCAAGGCAAACATCAGGGGCCATGCAGGGTTTTTAAAGATGGCATGGGCACCAGAGTATCTGCTGATTGGTGAGTAGTTCTGGGGACAGTGCATAGTAAGATGGGACTAGAATCAGATGTGAAAAAATGCATTTGGGACAGAGGAGGTAGTTAATGAGGTGAGTTTGGTAAGGTACAGTGAGCTATGAGGGCTGAGAGAGAATGAGACATGAATGGGGATATAGTGGTGAGGGTGTGGGGGAAAGTTTAGATATTCTCATAGCATTCTCCAGACGTGAGACACTGTCTGTGAATGTAGGTGTGTTTTTTTTAAACTTGGCTGTGTCAACATTGGCCAACTGTCCCCAACTCTGATGGATGAAAATAACATTAGTCAGTGCTGCTAGCTTGAGGTGAAACTCTCCCAATTCAAGGTACAAAGATGAAAATCAAGCCCCTTGTACCTCATGTGTCACAGTCTGACACAGTTCTGTCATTCTGACCTAACTCGAGCTTGGGCTGTGTCAAAATGCAACTTTGACATATATGGGAACATTCATTAAGAAAGTAATTGTCAAGTTTCTGTCAGTTAGATCTGATAGGTCGCTCAAGACTACAACAGGATCTGTTCGCTGTACTGCTTAATGTAATTTGCACTCTATTTACCAATACTTTTGCTTTATAATAAGTGCATATATTAAGTGCAATCTGCTACCACTACTTCCAAAATTGCTGCTAAACTATTTCATAGCAATCATACTTATGTCACTCATTTCCTATTCAAATACACGACTATTTACCATTATCTGTGTTAAATTGCACAGTTCCAGCCATTTAAACATCTTATCTATTTCCTCATGACAGTTGAATGCACCCAACCCCCCACTATCAGCTAGCATCATCTGTAAATTTAATCAATTTGTCAAGAGTTCCTGAATTCATCATTAATGTAAATTAGAAACAGTAGGGATCTCACCATCAATCTCTGGTGCACGCCACATAGGACTGTCCTTTGTCTGAGTCCTCAACATTATTCTCCAAAGAAAACACCTCATACGTCCTTTTCTTCAAATCTCATCCATTTCTTGGTTTTACTTTGAATTCGCATGATACACCAACAACACAAAACCTCACAACATACTAATCACACTAGCCCTGCAGTTATTTGATGTTCTAACATTAATTGGCTGAAGATGGAACATGGGCCCCTCACTTGGGCAGAAGTCTTGCCTCAGAGAGCTGCCAATCAACTTGATTGGTAGTCGTCTTGTTTTTGTCATTTTCACTCTGACTTTGGTGCCGCAAAAACAAACCTCCGAGCTAAGTTTTCACTGGCTTGGACTTTTCTCAGATTTTAATTTTTCAATCATGGCAACACTCGATTCATGCTCACTTTATTTCATGTTTTTACAGAGTTACTGCAAACATTAACTATAGCGATAACAACCACAGTGGCAATAATCAACATCTTTGATAGAATGATTTGTGATTGACTTACATAAAGTTGAAAACGTCATCAATCTACATTTGACCAACTAAGAAAATTAGAAATTTGGCACAGTTTGTATCAGTTGAACTGAGACACTTGGGAAATAAAAGCAATAAGATGTTCTTTCACCACCTCCCGGATATAGTATGTATAGGGCAATAGATTTCATTCAATTAAATTACATTCATGAATAATTAATAACATATATAAACAAACCTCCAATTCAGTCCGGTTCAAGTTTGGATATTTTAAATTAAATGCTTGTGAAATGAAAATGTTGTTATACATGTCATGTGTTGAATTGGCAAGCGAATCATGCAAATACACATAAATTTTCTTCCTCACACTAGTGAAATGTACCAGATGAAAATTTTGGCTCTATTTCAGACTTGGATCATATATTCTTCCCTCTGTCCCAAACTCTAACCTACTACTGACAGTCACTCCCTGCCTTTGATTCCAGGTCCAATGACTTCCCTCTCTTGCAAACAGCCACTCAGCAAGAAACGCCTCTCTCTAACAACCCCTTCCTTTGTCCATGTGTCCAGCTTAGGATCCTGGGGCATGTTGTACCAGCAGTGGCCATGTCCTCCTTTGTGGAGGTGCCAGGTTGGCAGGTCCCAGTGGGTGAGACGTCATAAACTGTGGCCTGCAGTTGAAAGGAATGATGCTGGTGTCCTCTTAAGCATCTGCTGAGCTGAAAATTCGACAGGCCTGTCTTCTTGGAGTGAACGTGTTTTTTTTTCCTCTGCTTTTGCACCAAACAAAGATGATTCCAAATTTTGCCCCTCGCCTTTAGTTCACTTTCTTTTGGCTGAATTTCAACGAAGAGGAAAGCAAACAGCTTGACTTAGATACAAACCTCCTTCCAACACGCTCATTCCGATTCAAACTGAATCCAACAGATGAATGGGTGGCCAATCCCAATTCAAAGAGGTGTCTTACAGTTTTGATGCTGCGAGCTCTTTTTAAAAGGCATTCTACTATTTAAATTTATCTATTCTTGGCCAGCTAGCTTTCTAAAGTGAACACTTGGTTGATTCAGGAATGAAGTGCATTCACATCCAGCGCCCGGATCCAGGTGCTCGCCTGAGAGGCCATTGTGATCAGAAATCCCTTGTCTCTGAGCCCTCTGACCTCTCACACAGTGCCAACCCGCAATACTGATCAGCTTCTCCTTCCATACCTTGCCTTAACTTTCATCAAATCAATTCTCAATTGACTCCTACTCGTCACGTTCAATCCTCCTCCTGTTTGCTGCCCTCTCCAACCTTCACTCCAGTTAATCTCACACACCCAAATAGTATCCACCAACCCCAGACCTGCAACCTTTAGTCAACCTCCTGTCCTATGGGCAGATTTATACATTCCCCAGCAACTGGCACCCCTGCTCTCAGTCAATCTGTCAGAGAGGGAACCAATTAGTGAGCATCAGGCCACTGAAAATCTTCCTCTGTACTTCTGTTTCTTAATTTTCCACTCTATTTCTCTTGATGTTATTTGCTGATTCATTCTCTATTTTTGACGTTTATTAGTGAAGGAAATGGACCAGTGGATCTGATAGTCATGACATACAGATGCCCTCAATTTGCGGCACCAATATGATCTGCAGAATGAGGCCAAAAAGCAAATTCATAGAGTTACACAATTCCAATAATAGCTGCATCATAAACTTTGGCATAAGCATGTTTTTATGTAATTTATTTTGTTTGCTAAATATGTTGTTTCTTTAATCAAGAAAATTGTCTCTTTTCCATTTTAAAAGCTAATTGGGTAACCAACCTGATTCACTTGTCTTGATCATCAGTATCTTCCAAATGCCCCATAGTGGATGATTTCAATAATTTTATCATATATTTCTCGACATGAGATGACTCTTAAGGTTTATTGTAATGAAACTCAGAATTTGATTGGCATTAGCACTGCTAGCATGGCTGATCCATTCACTTTGTCCAATCACCTTCCTAAGCATCTCACATTTTTAGAGGGACAATCAAAGAAGTCACAGAAAACACTATAGAAAAATAGCTCTTCATTATGGCTTTTTATAGGAAATTAATGTAATTTCTTCCCTTGGTCCTCAGAATGAAACATAATGACCAAGGCACCAACTTAACATATTTCACAAATTCCAAAAATAACACGAGAAGAAATTGAAAACCCGGGGTTACTTACCTGAGTCATGACATCTCTTGTGGTTGTAGACCTTCCTTTTCTGGTGGTAGTAGTGGCCATGGTGGTTGTAGTTTCCATAATGGTGGTTGATATTTCTGCTGGCTTTGATGTTGTTGTTGTTTCTGTCGTCATTGAGGATGCTTCCCCTACTAATCTCACATTTCCTTCTATTCTGATGTTTGGGTCACTTTCAGCTGCCATATTAAGTACTTTCAAGCCATTGTAGTACAGGCCAGTTAGCTGTCCCTGGAATGGACGATCTTTGTCCTTGCCACCAATTTTTATAGTTGCTTGGCTATTGAAGATTGTAAGTTGCCGTCCTGTGAAAACATCGTTACATATATAGGAAAAATGTTGAATGTGGACTTAATTAAAATAAGAATTTTATTTTACATTTATGTGAAGAAACAAGTAATTTATGAGGTGGTTAATGATCACAATAAATTACTGAAAAGTACTGTGAATAGCAATTTATTGCTCTTCAATGGAATATGTGACAGATGCATATTTTCTTCGATCAATCTCACTTTTTTGGTTGCTTAAAGGGCAATCAGATGTGTGTGCTCCTCTTTTTCTTTGTAGAACATTCTTTCAAAAGCAATTTTTATTGAATTTAGGACACAAGCATTAACAATAGTACAAAATGTTGCTTCACAAAAATAAGAGAACGTATTGTGAGATCACATGATGATTTTGATTGCCTTCCAGCAAAACTGCCTTCTGGTTTAAAATGAAAAACAAACTGTCAATGCAAATGTAAACTAACAAGTGACACATAAAATGAGAAAATTATGTGGAACATTTCACTCCAACAGAACAAGCCTTTTGCAACAGTACCACTTCTTGATTTTTTTGACAAAAATCATTTATAATACTTTTAAAGGGTTCAGTTTTTGCACAGCAAAAAACATGCAGCAAATGTAATTTTTTATTGTTAACTTTTTTTCAAACTACAATTTCTTCGAATGTTTGAAGTAAACGTTAAAGGGACTTCAGATCTTATTTCCAATTTCACATGAAACACTATTTAAGTTATCTACCGTTTAAAAGGACGTTGTTGCAGAAATGAAAAATCATGGATCACAGCTAATTGTCCATCCTTTAATAACTAAATTTAGACATAGTAAACATATTCTGTACAGGATTTATCACTGTTTGTTAAATGTCTAGGATTAATGTTGTACATTGACCACAATTAGAAGTCTATATTTAACAGTCCCTTTAACCTTAAGTTAATGGGGTATGCTTATTAAACTGTTGATATTTCATAATGGGAAAAGAATTATTCAACACGCAATGTAAATATTTCTAACTACTGTTTAAAACATTTTGTTTTATTTAATTTTACTGGCAATTTATATTTTAAGTTTATTAGTGTTACAATCCAACGCTACTTGTTTATGTTCAAATTATTTTTTATTTGAAGTTTTAATCAATGTTTTTACCTTTGTCGAGTAGCCAATCATCAACTACTCGACCAAGTCGATATGGGATTCGCTGTCTAGCAATCGCCAGGCGTTCGTTATCATTGTTTCCTTTAAAGTTTAAAGAGACATTTCATTGGTTAAAATCTGTAAGGTCAAAGGTTAAAGGTTAATACTTAAAGCTTGAGCTATACAGTTGTCACATGAATTTTTGAATTTGGAAGTTTAAGAAATGCTACCTACAACATTTCAAATTTCAAATTTTTCAGGCATTTAATTTTTTTTAGCAAACAAAATTATTGTATTAATTAAGAATTAGAAAGCTGCATCGCCAACTAAGTTATTGAAGTTATATTATAGACAAAACCAGAACAACAAATTATATAATATCATATAACAGCTTTACAAAAATATTCATCTGTCTGCTTGTTTTGAAAAGAGCCCATATTAACTAGTTAAACCTTGTGTCAGTTGTCAGATTTATTTGTGTTCACTGTAACTGTTCTCCATATTAGTCTCTTAAAGAAAAGACTATGAAATCTTAATGCCTGTGACACAAACTATTTCTTCCATGCCTTAAGATACAGCTGATGTTAATTTGTTCTTTTTTTGTATTCCAAAATAAAAAAAAACACATTAACTCACTCAAATTAGGAAAGCATAAAGTGGTAAAATGAATGCTAATAGTTTTTAATAATCCATTAGGCTGAAAATCAGCTGTAATAAAAATTATTGTATATTAATAATACCTATATAAAATCACAGATGTAGATAATAATACTGTTCTTATTATGAAGCAAATGAGGCTTTGACAAGAGCTACTGTAAATTTAACAGTCCATTTCTTTCTTCCTTGACATCAGGTCGTAAGCAACTGATTATTTAAAATTGTGTGTTTGTTTCTTATTGAATTAATTTCTACTCTCCAAATCATTCTAAATGTAAAAAATGAATTTGGATTTATTTCATGATTCCACACAATGTTTTTTTTAGGAACACCCACAAATAACCAGAAGGTTCATAGAATGTCAATTTGTCTTTGTCTTTGTGATTTTTCATTTTACAATTAAAATACACTCAGAGTTTTGTGTTTAATGTTCCATTTAAAATGGTTTTATACGAAGTTTGTATTATTTACTTTCAGCTCAGTCAGGCCTTTAGCTTTTCTGCAAACAGCCCATGTATGGCTTGACACTCAACAAACCACTACAATAAGGTAAGTTATTCCCTCTGACATATCTATGTGCAATATCTATCTGTTGGCTGCAATTCTGACATAACTCAATACAACCTTTCATATTTAAAATAATATACAAACCAACCATCTGCCACACCACATTATAAATATGTGGTAATGACCAGGTCAATAATAGTTAACGTTATCAAATAACTGGAAACTTACTCTGTTGAACCAAGCCAAACCTTCACTGGACAACTGGACATGGGCAATTAACAATGGCATTGTTCATACTGCCCACACTCAGAACACACAATATTTTTTTCAAAAAATGAAGCATACAAGATGATGTAAGTGTCAACGATAAGGACATAACTTTATTTCTTTTATACTTTTTTAAACATTTCATTTACTAACTTATAATAGCTTGCAGTTTTAAAAAAAATAATCTATTCCAATAGATGCCTGGTTGGGATAACCATATTTTCGCCACACAGTTATCAAAATTTATGTGGCTCAGTCTGAGTGGTATGTCTCATTTACTATAACGCACAGGCATTCAGGTTTCTAGCTTGAAACTTGTTTTGCCACATTGGAAGTCCACTTGAAAAGGATTCAGTTTGGATCAAAGATGATCATCCAAGTGTTGTGCTATGACATTGCCCTTGCTGATTGAATTCCACGTAGCTCCATTCTTTCACCGAGTAGACAATATTTTGTCACATTGTAGTGTATTAATTCTGTTTGAAAAGGTAGACTTCAAGGGAATAACAGTAATTTAACACAATCTGAGAAAGCAGTGAAAAAGTGAAAGAGGTCAATCCTTTGAATCAGAAGTAAAATCTGCAGCAGAATTGAGAGAAAGCAGCAGAAAAGAATCTTAATCATATCTTCATACCTGCAGGTCAGATCGGATAGACTAGCTATGTCAAGCCAACTGGCATGTTCTTTTTTTCTTTCCCGACATATTATATTGCCACTGTCGAAGCCTAATTCTATCTTGCCCTTTTTCAAATAAAGGTGTCAGTCACTTGACATGAAACAGCAGCATCATCGTTGAAAGGCAATGAAAGAGATGGATAAGAAGCTGAAGCTACGGAAAGACTAAGTCTAGTGTATATATCTTATCTTGACAAACTCCACTTCATTTTTATATATTTGTCTGCTCTGTTCACATTATTTAGCTAGCAGGTCACAACTAAGTAACACTAACCTTCACTGTCCTTCCCAGGCTATTTCCATGTTTATTGTATCATCAATTGTGCAACACTTGATTTATTCAAAGAGAAACAATGCTTACTGGGCTTTCTGAAAATAAACATTTGTAATTCTTTACCACAATGTCTCCTTGCTTCTGTAGTAGAAATGTGTAAATCTAAATCAAACCACTGTACAATAACACATACCGATAGATTACATGGGCATGTCAGAATACTGCACTAATCAAGTAGCACAGATAGCATTAGAAGCCACAATAGCAGACCTCAAGAGTTTTGAAGTGAAAACTTTGAATACAGTTTTGATATTGTGCCATTTTATCTAATACCGTGTTTGTGTGTTTTTAATTTTTATGCAAGCTTTAATACCACAACTATGCCTGGACTCTGCTTGCTATGCCATTCATGCAAAAGACAATACAACTACGACATTCTGGAAAAGCTCAGGAGGTCGGGCAGCATCCGTGAAGAGAAATCAATCAGAATTAACATTTCGGGTCTGGTGAGCCTTTCTCAGAACCCGACCCAAAATGTTAACTCTGATTTCTCTTCACAGGTGCTGCCAGACCTGCTGAGCTTTTCCAGCAACTTTGGTTTTTGTTCCTGATTCACAGCATCCGCAGTTCTTTCATTTTTTTACAACTATGACATTGTCTGTTGAGGAACAGTTACCTATTGAATGCCACAAACTTATATTCAGTCGACATCAGTGCTCATTAGCAATATTTTAATCACCAATATAGAAAATTAATACTTTTTTTGAATATCACCATTAGCTAATGAAAATGTGCTCCATCCTAGCAATTTGCGTCAGCATAACTTTACAAGTAAAAACGGGAAGGGCCTAAATCTGTTATAATGGGATCAAACTGTTTTAACACTGATACCAGCTAACACATTGAAGAAATCTTATTGGTGATAATAAGGTCAAGGCTTTCAACTCACTTGAGGATTCAGATGATTTTTATAAAGGGACCATGGTCTGAATTTTTGTTTCAGAATCAGGAGCACAGAGTTGAGACGAATCACAGCTCCCTAAACCAAACCCAGGAAAAGTGTCCCTGAGGTTTGGATTTTCATTCCAGGGTGGGAGTAAAGTGAAAATGGGACATCATTATGCCATGTTTCATCTGTGCCACCTTGTGTTCCTCATCTATCCTCCATACCGTCAACCTATGCTACTCTGCTTACACTGATAGCCCTCTACTAGACCTCAAAGCCAAAGCTCCCAGAGTATCCAAGCAGATAAATAAAGTACTTAAGTATTTAAAGCTGAATTCATGACATTTTTTTCAATGAAAATCTATTCACTAGGTTTAATTTTCCATTATCCCTTACAAAATAGGAATATCTGTATTCATAGGTCCACTTTATAAGAACTTGGAGCAATCAATCAAACTATGAACTGACAGACACCACACTGTGATAAGGAAAGGTTGTGAAGTCACTTATGCGGCCCTCGTCTTGCCATGGTAACACTCGAGCTCATCTGAACAGATCGAGAGAAATACCGAGTACTGACTATTTTTTAAAGCTGTAGCCTTTTTTGTCTGATATTTAAAGGATTTAAATTTCAGCTTGACAGATCCCTTTGACAATTCTCTTAACAGCTTCAAGGTGCCTGACAGTTCTAACAAGTTTATCTACCTTTCATGCACATTCCAAAATTGACTTTACTCTTCACAAAGGTCATGTGACCTCTTGCTGAAGTGAACCAGGGCCATATCCAAAGAGGTGTTTTAACTCTCTAAAAGGACACTATTAAATTTCCAAACAATTCCATTTGGGCTTTCATTCACCGGAACTAAAGTTCACAAGTTGTATTTTGAACTTCCCATTCGCAAACTTTAGATCTGATTGAGACCATTGCACTTTAGCATATGCAATTGCCTCTGTGAACTATCCAAATTAAAACTCACCATGAACTATGGGCATGCAAATTAGAACTCACCTCATTCTCTCACCCCTCTGAAAATGGTGGGGGATTAGGATTTCTGGATTCATATCTCTGATATCTTTTTTTTATTAAGATAAAGAGCCTCTCCATCAGCTGAAAAATTCAGGGCCAAGCCTCATTTATAGTTTATGGCATCCCCTAAATGTTTCAGTTACTTTCCATTAGCACAATTTAGTCATAGGTGTCTGAAGATCATGCATGATTTCCCTTTATTGAACCACTTCATTGCTGTACCATAGTTACTTTACTTCCTCAACATGGAATACAAATGCAAGCAGATGAAAAGCACAAAGAAGTGACTTGATATGTGAAAGAGTTAATGAACATAATATCTCAAATTAACATGTTTTCTAAGATGTTGGAGATTGACACCTTGAGACAGCACACCAGAGAATTTATGCAACATGCAGATTTGAATCTCTAGTTCTCCCAATTAACTTTCAGCCTTGACTGAAATAGGTTTCATTTATATTTGAGTGCATTTGTGCTGCTTAATAGACATTTGAAAGGCAAGGTAAAGAGGGAAGAAGAGGCTGCATTCATACGGCACTGGCTTTCATCAGGCATTACAAAATGCCTTGCATTCAATTATTTACTTTAGAATGTAATCATTTCTAGTTTCAGTGTAGTTGAAAATGGCAGCCATATTGCAAAAGGAAGGTATTACAAACAATAATAAGATAAATAATTAGTTAAAGTATTTTGCCGGTACTGGTTGAAAAATAAATAATAGACAGGACACCTCTACTCTTTGTCAAATG